AATCAAATTTTGTTGAAGATTACCGTAAATCCCTCGGCTGTTGCAGCATTGTATTCACCAAACATTGGCAATGCTCGACCCTTGTCCTGTATGCCATACGCATAGATAGGGATGATAGATGAGTACAATTTCGTAGATTTCGTACTATACTCATTCTAATCGGGGTGGAATGGATATAACTTTAGTAAGAAGTGGATATATGTGAATATAAAAAGTCATACTTGTCCTGGGTAGTGGGTAGGTGATGGGTTTATGATCTTACCCGCTCCGTATCCGCCACCACTAATATTCACCACATAAATTTTAGACTGTTATAAATTTAGGTATAATTCCAAAGAATATTTTATAAAAACTAAATGTTTAGGTGCTAAATCATATAAAAATTGATAATTTAGGTACTAAATTCGTTAAGTTTTAATGGTGGGATATTAAATTAAAATAAAACTAAATGTTATATATAATTTTAAAAAAATAAAAAATTTAAATATTAAAACGGATTAAAACTAAAATTATACTTAAATATGTAGTTTAAGTATTAAATACGTAATTTATCGTATAAAATATTACTCCATATTTAATCCCAGGGATAATGTGAACAAAATTATCAAGTTTAATGTGCCCAATTTATCTGAAAATATTTTTGATTAAAGTAGAGAAAATTAAAAAATATATATTTGAAGAACAATTAATAATATAGAAAGGAAGGAATTCCACCGCCTACGGCCAACCACCAACGGCAAACACCCTACTGCTCGGAGCCAGGTCAGCATTCACATGCAAATTAATTAAGAACGCCACTTGAACAACATCAAGTAAGAGATATCTTGACGGGATAATTGTCAATTTCATCCTTCCAAGGATTTCCCCTTGATTCATTCATGGGAGTCAACCTAAGAGCTCTCCAAACAGCACTGTTACATTTGAAACCCGACCCAAATGCAATCTGCCACACCCGGTCACCGCCCGATACCCGTCCCTTGGCCTCCGTGTAAGCCAGTTCGTACCATAATGAGCTGCTCGAAGTGTTTCCGAATCTATGTAGAGTCATCCTCGAGGGTTCCATGTGCCAATCTGATAACTGCAGGTTCTTCTGCAATTCATCCAGCACCGCCCTTCCGCCGGCGTGGATACAGAAATGCTCGAAAGCGAGCTTGAAATCGGGTATATAAGGACTCACTTTGGCTTTCAGAAGCTTCCTCCGGACGAGCGTGACGAAGAACATGAACTGCTCCGTGAACGGTAAAACAAGGGGACCCAACGTGGTGATATTGGTTTTCAAAGCCTCACCGGCCACGGCCATCAACTCACGAGCCAATGAAACTCCGATCGTTCCTTTGTCGTCCTCTCTTTGGTATACGCAGTTGTAATGTCTGTCGTCGGCTCCTTTATGGGTTCGAACCACGTGAACGAGCTGGTACTTGGAACGAGCCCTGTCTCGTGGCTTGTTCGACAACAGAACCGCGGCTCCACCCATGCGGAATATGCAATTGCATAGCAGCATGGATCTATTATTCCCGAAATACCAGTTGAGAGTTATGTTTTCGGTGCTCACAACCAAGGCATACGTGTTGGGGTTGGATCGAAGGAGGTTTTTCGCGAGATCGATCGATATAAGGCCGGCACTGCAACCCATTCCCCCGAGGTTGTAGCTGTTGATATCTGTACGTAGCTTGTAATGGTTCACGATCATGGCCGACAGCGACGGTGTCGGATTAAACAAGCTGCAATTCACGATAAGGATGCCGATATCCCTCGGGTTAACGCCGGTTTTCGCGAAGAGTTCGTCGATTGCTCCGAACATGACAGCTTCAGCTTCAGCTCGAGCCTCTTCCATGCACAGATTCGGCGGTGTAGACGTTATCCCTCTAGGGAAATAAGTCTCGTCGCCTAATCCGGACCGAGTCGATATCCTTCTCTGAAACTGAAGTGTGTCCTCCGTGAAAGCGCCGCTCTCTTCAGTCATCTTCAAGAACGAGTCGACCGACATTTTGCGATCATCTTCAGGCTTGTAGCAGGAGAAGTCGACGAGGTAAACCGGCCTGGCCCGCTTTGCATAGTAGAGACCGAAGAGGAAGAACACGATTAACAAACCAGCTAGTCTCGTAGCAGCATCAATGCTCTCAAGCCCAAGGGCTTGGTTGGTCCATAACCGGGAAAATCTGTCCGGTTTCAGACCGGTGAACTGAACCAACGCGACAATGAACAAAGGCAGGATAAGTGCAAGAGTGAGCACGGTGGCCGGGTTACATGAATAACCATAACCCAACTTAACATATTTAAGCTTCACAGATTGTAAGAAATCAGGCAACCTTTTACGGATCCTGATGACGGCAGACGACGAGTCTTTGAACGCCATTTCCGCCGTCAGCCGCTCTTCGTCCATCTCTATGCTATCCCTGTCCATAGTTCGAGTGGCTCTCAAGGAATTATGAGTCTTTTTTCCTTGCATCCAATTAAAGAAGATGACCTAAAATACCTAAAAAGAAGGAAAATCCTGCTTCTGAAACCTAAGGGAGAGGGAAGCTAGACCAGTAGGAATTAAATACAACAATAAGTACAAGAAAAAGGAAAAGAAGGAAAGTTGGAAGGAAACAGAGTGTTGAATTAATGGGGGGTAGCTCCAAGAAAGGATAGATCAGCTCAACCAACTTAAGAATATGTATTACGGGATTAGTAATTTAGCAATAATTATAATAATAATTGAAAGAGGATTAACATCCCATTTTCTTTTTTGAGTGTCAGAATGTTGGAAAAACTGGGGGAAATGCTGGTATATTTTAGGTGATGGGATTGCGTGGGCTGGTAATTGATGACTGTGCAGCCATGTGAGATTACGAGGTTGCTTTCAAGGAAGCTTGAAGAGTGCTTTGATGTCCTTCGGTTATTGCATTGAAATCGAACAAAACTGGGTGTCCAAGTGGAGTTTCAAAGTTCAACAATGTCTGAAAGCGTATATTAAAAGGCCAAGAGAGAGAGAGAGAGACGCGTGGAAATCGGCCGGTGGAGTTTAGGTGACTTGCAATAGAGAATAAGGCTCCATTGGTCAAACAAGGTTGCCGCTAACGTTCCACCATATATATAAACAGTATATTTTCCGGCCTGAACCCCCCCCCAAACGGTCCTAGGTTCTACTTAATTAATTTTAGGGTAAACTACGCATTTGGTAACTAAATTATCATTTTAGTATGTTTTAGTGTTTAAACTTTTAATTTTTTTCAAAACTATATCTAAAGTTGAGTTTTTGTTTCATTCTAGTAACCATGTTCAAAATTTAACATTAATTTTTGAAAAAAATTAAAAATTTAGGTACTAAAATAAACAAAAACTGTTACTTTATATACTAAATGCGTTAAGTTTTTAACGGTGGGAATACTAAAATGAAACAAAAATTAAACATTAGGTACATTTAAAAAAAACAAATTTTAAGTATTAAAATGAACCAAAACGGATCATTTAAATACTAAATATGTAATTCACCTTCGATTTTAAAATTCTATTATCTTTTATAATTCAATTCAATAAAATTAATTAATTTTAGTTATAATTGAGTTTTAAAATCGTTAGCTTTTCCTATTTTTTATATAATTATCGATATTTGATCTATTGATCAAATAATCGGGATGGGTATTGTAGAGACAAAGATGATCTTTCTAACCCAATTTACTCTATTCACAAATATTAGAGTTCGAATTTCTAATCTTATTTAAAAAAATATGATGCATGATCCCACTATATCAATATTAAAGTATCGTGCTCTTCTCACACCATCACAAGTTACTTAGTGGACCACATCATCTTTGCATGTGATAGTAATCATGGAAATTTTAAGCTGAATTTATTTATAATTATATTATTTTATATCATATTCATAATTTAAGACCCTAAATTATAAACTTTAAGTTAGAGTTTAAGTTTAGGGTTTATAGTTTAGAGATTATAGTTTACGATTTAGTGTTTATAATTTAGGATTTTAAGTTAGAGATAAAATATAAAATAATGCAATTAAGCAACTTCAATGACTAAATTAATACTGATAAGAACAAAAGAGATAAATTGAGTATACAATATGGATAAAAAATCCCTTTTCACCTTTAATTTATTCTTTTCGATTCAGATCATTTATATTTGTTATTTTGTTTGTTTTTATCAATATACAATTAAGAAGAATAATATTATTTATTATTTTAAAAAGTAAAACACTATTTATTTTATAAATTAGATTCAAATTTTTTTTATATAAATTTAAACATAATTACCAATTCATTTTTTATCATAATTATACAAAAAAAATATTAATTATAATTTCTTTTGCACATACATTTAATGACTCTAATTATAATTGTACATACCGGTGCGATTGTATATTTAAAAATACGAATTAATAAATGGAAGGAAAAAATATGCGTACTTCATTTGGTGGCTAAGCTAAATGCCCTTTTTATGACGTGCACAATCAAATAACATTGAGTAAATTTTATTTTGACATAAATCAATTAAATTAAGGGTAACTTACACAATGGTCATCCAATTATAGGATAGTATTTTATTAAGTCATTCGATTATTAAAAGTTAAAAAATATTCTTCTTATTATAGAATGTTACTTTGTTAAGTCTCTGTACTATTAAAATTTATAAAATGATCACTTGACTATTCATTATATTCCAAAATTGTTTTTTTCCCGTAAAAAATTTGGGATTTGTCTTAGTTGAACGTTAAGATGATGATTGAGATATGATAGTCATTTGAGATTTTGGGACCAGATTTTATCATATCATAATCAACAGGTCAATGTTCAGCTCAAAATACCGTTATTTTTTTTAACAAAAAATGACAAGTTTGGAACATAATGAATAATTGAATGACCATTTTGTAAATTTTAATAGTCGAGGGATTCAACAAAGTAACATTTTATAGTCAGATTATCATTTTATAACTTTTAATAGTTGAGGGGTTTAATAAAGCAGTACCCTATAATCAAAGGACCATTTGTGTACTTTATTTAAATGGATTTAATCGTCACATACTTTTCTTTTTCTTCAGCAATTCCATCAGTTTTCCAGATTATATCATTCAATCCAGATGAAAAGTTCTTGTAGAACTGTCATGTTAAAAAAACCACAGCTAAAATGGGTTATCATACGTTTATTTTGAAGTTAGATCGTGAAGAAATTTGTCGAATTCAGATAAATTAAATGCAACTGGTATGTATGTGTATACCTTGTGAAACTCCAACGTGTCTGCGCCGGTTTTCCGGAACTCCACCATATGTACGAAGGGAGCAACCTCGAACACCTGAGATCAAAGAGCAATGAATTCTCGACGTTGTTATTCTCCGACATCAAATAATATACGCATCGGACATGGTGATATTGTGTTACCTCGGTGGCCACGGAGAGTTGTCCCTTTCTCCCTCTTTTGTCACCTTTCAACTTCATCTATGGCGATGAGGATTATGCAAGTACATGAGACATGAATCAGAAGTTGTAAACATATAAACAGCTGTTGCAGCATGGATGAATATTAATCGAACCTTATAGTTCCGCTTGTCAACATTGAACCCTAGAGGCTTTGCAGCTTCCTCGATTTTGGAGATGATTTCGTTAGGAGGACATTGCGAAACAAAACTGGTTTCTCGCTTTGCAAGCCCCTGTCGTTCCGATTCGGACTGGCGAAGAAAAAGGGGTACACTCGGATAAGATGGAAAGTGCATATCCAGGCTAGACACATTGCTTTCAACGTCTAGTATGGGGAAAGCCAAGGGGATTTTGATTGCATACCATCTGCTTCTCAGACAAATTGTCTAGACTAAAGCTTTGCGAACTGGAGATGAGCACGAAAGCATTCATCGACACAGGTCTCACTTTCCTTTCTGTTACAAGATTTTCCTGGAAAACGGAATAACAATCGAGTAGTTAAGTGCTCGGATTTGCTTATGATAGGACTCTGTTTAGTCAGAGAAACAGAACAGATAAAGCATGAAATGAACAACCGTTGAGTCGAGTCGTTAAAAGCGTCATCGATGTCATCGAGATTTATAACCTCTTCCTGCTTGAATTGGGGAGGTTGGTACCCTTTCTTGAACCATTCATCTTGTAGACTTTCAGGAACAGTTAGTTATACGCTGGTACAACGAACGCACAAATTTTCAACACAAGTGCATGTATCATATACAGGTTATCAGAAAATGCAAAGCATGAAGGGTTTCGGTTTCGGAACATACGGTTAGAGGGTCCGGATCGAGAATATGCTGCAACAATTTCCTTGCACCGGTCGTAAAATATGGACAAGTGAAATCGGCCTTTGTGATCTGAAAATTTTATCAGCATGTACCAAAAGCCTTGATCAAGTTCTCATCAAAAAGAGAAAGCTGGATGCGGAGGTTCACTTACTTTCTTATACAAGCATATAAGCTTCGGTTCATCAAAGGGCAAATAACCAGCCATAAGTACAAAGACAATAACTCCACAAGACCAAATATCCGATGCTCGAACGTCGTAACCTTGATCTTTAAGCACCTGAGGATGAAATATCGAACACGAGAGTGTCAGAGAAATCGCAGCATTGTCGCTCACTATCTGTTCAAAGTCATGGTATATACATTATATATACCTCAGGAGCAACATAATTCGGAGTCCCACAAGCAGTGTGAAGCAACCCATCCTCCTACATTTGGAAGAGTAATGTTGCAACCAGGACGAATGCATGATTTTATGGTTAGATTACATGCTTACCCGAACTTGCTGCGAAAAAACACTCAATCCAAAATCTGATATTTTAAGAACACCATTGGGATCCAGAAGAAGGTTCTCATGCTGCGAAAATGGACAAATACATGAGGAATTAGAAGCTAGAACGAAGCAATCTCCAATTTCCAAAATCAAAAGCATTGAAACACACTCATCTAATGAATCAGTTACATCAAAGGGAGAGTTGAACCTTCAAATCTCTATGGAAAACGTCTGTACCGTGGCAGAAATCAACAGCATTAATAAGCTGCTGGAAATAGCTTCTAGCTTCATCCTCTTTGAGTCTCCCTCGTGTGGCCTAAAAAATATCAAAGATTTTTGGTACCGTAAACAATAAACTCCATGGGCGGGTATAACTCGACGACAAACGCTTACAATTTTGTCGAAAAGCTTGCCTCCACTGACATACTCGATCACGATATAAATCTTTGTCTTGCTTGCCATAACCTAAGGCCGTAACCCTAAAAGGTCAATCAACCTTACATAATAATTCCAGGGATTAGTTTGTTTACATACCTCGTATATTTTAACCACATTGGGATGCTTTATAAGCTTTCATTGTCGATATTTCTCTCTTTATCTGCCCCATACAAAATCACCCTTAATCCAAAAGAAGATGGTTGAATTTGAGCAATGGGATTCTTGTTACGGAGGACTTGGTCACGGTCGAGGATTTTAATGGCGACACACTCGCCGGTCTCGACATTCTTGGCGAATTTAACCTTGGCAAAACTCCCCTCACCCAAGGTCCTTCCCAGTTCGTACTTCCCTACGCGTTTCCTCGTCGTCTGAACCTTCTCCGACGTCGTATCATTGCTATTCTTCTTCGTGCTCATTTTGTCCACCTTCAACCGCCGTAGTTGGAAAAAGAAGTTATATGGCCTTTTTGTTGGCGTGGCGGGAAGGAATGGAGGCTGGCAACTGGAGCGAGAGAGTGCGTGCTAAAATTATTAGGTACCAAGTGGCCAAAAACATTGACGAGGATAGCCGGAGGAGAGAGACATGGCAACTAACTTTATTTGTAGGTACCTTCGCATAGAGATGGAGACTGTTAGATCGGGATTTTATAAAGATTATTGTGGATAGAATGTTCGATCCTCGTAGACGGATTACTGCAGTTGAGGTCATAGCTCGTATCTTTAGGAGGCTAGTTATAGCGTTTCAGTCTTGTAGGGAGGCAAGTCTCGTCGAGATTCACGTTGTTATCGCCGGATTGAAGTTTACAATCGAGAACCAATGATCTCAAGTGGTTATTGAATCGAATTCTATTATGATTGTTAATAAGCTTGATGGCGGTATGGATAACTTATCCACTATTGGTTTTCATTTGCAAGAAACGTGGGATATATTAGTTACTAATGTATGTCTTTTTTACTGTTGGTTATATTAAGCATAATTATAATAAGGTTGCTCACACATTAGTCTCTTGGGCTCTTAGTTCTAAGCTTACCTTATTTTTTTGACTCGGTTTATCCTGAAGTCATCTTATCTGATGTATTTAATGACATTGATTTTAGGTAATATATCTATTGCGTACTCTTTTTCCCCTTGTAGGATTAGAAGGGTATTTTAGCGAGGCACGTCTTTATTTAAAAAAGAATAATGTTATTAGGGTAAACTATGCGTTTAGTGCTTAAACTATCAGTTTTGATATATTTTAGTACTTAAACTCTTAATTTTTTTCAAAATCATACCTAACGTTTAATTTTTGTTTCATTTTTAGTATCCCGTTGTTAAAAATTTAACACGTTTAGTACCTAAACTATCATTTTAGTCCGTTTTAGTACTTAAACTTTCAATTTTTTTCAAGACTTAACGTTAAATTCTGAATGGAATACTGAAATGAAACAAAAATTAAACTTTAGGTATGATTTTGAAAAAATTAAAAGTTTAAAGATTAAAATTGATAGCTTAAATACTAAATACATAATTTATCCGTATTATTATTATTATTATTATTATTAACTGAAAAAACAATATTAAAAAATCCATATCCACATGCAATTTGATACAGGCACGACACGATAATTTATTGTGGTGTAATTGATTTAGGCCTAAACCCACATTCTGACTCTCTCATAGCTGCATAATTCATCTTCTCTTCTTCTTGGCGGTAGATCGAAGGCCAAATCCTATATACAATCTCAACCAGTTTTCTTTAAGCCTGGAAGTCGGATACGAACAGGTAAAATTGGCCGAAAAGCCATGCTGATAAAAAAATTTAGTCTATTAGATAATTTTCAAAATTATTTTAGGACCTACGACATATGTTATAGTAACTTGAAATTTATCATATTGACGCGACATGTTTTAATAAAATATATTTTTATTATAATTTATCACTCCGACATAACAAATTTTAATTAAAAAATTATATTTGTCTTGTACCGTAACATTTGTCTTAGCTCTCAAAATAAAATTCAGGTTGGCCTAATGGGATAATTTTTTTACCTACTCGGTTTATTGGGTCAATTTTACCGATACGAACATCTATGGATTAATATAGTTTGGGTCCATTTTTTTCACCCAAACTTGATTTAAATTTTTTATATTTTATCTGTCATTCAATCTGATTAGTGTTTAAAAAGACTTAGCCGATTCAAAATTCGATCTGATTTTTTAAAATACACATTCATACTTAAATCGATATATATATATATATTCGATAAATAGGGATCTAATAAAAATATTTTAAATTATGAATATAAAATTATTCAAATATTCAAAAAAATTAAATATTAAAAATTAAATTAAAATATTAAAAAATATTCATATTAAAAACACTAAAATTATTATAATTTTTTAAAGAATTTAAATATATATCATAGGTTATAAAATGATAACTTATAAATTATAAAAAAATAAAAGTTTTTTTAAAATATACATTATACATAACATATGTATGTAACATATATACATATTTTCAACACTTATACAAAATATTATTATTGGATTAATCGAGAATTATAAAATTTAAATTAGTTGAGATTTATAATTTTTGGATTAGTCGAAACTTATTATGTTTTTTAATTATTTTTTCTAAGTCTCCACTATATTAAAAGATAATTATATTGTAACATCGCAGCTATTGGGTCAGTGACCAAATTGTAAGAATTTCTAAACTCAGTGGTTAAATTAGAATAAAGTGATAAATTTAGTGATTTGTGGATGAATTTGTGTTGGGTATTATAGCAAATATGGAATTATAACAAGGGTAAAGTGGCAAATTGCAGGGAAGGGTATTTTTAAATGGTTTTTATGTGGGATAAATATGAAGTAAGAGAAGAGAAGTTTTAGTAACTAATCTTTGCTTCCTTTTTCTTCAGCGAGGGTTTCATTTTAAAGGTAAGAATCTAAATCTTGGTTGTTCCTTTGATTTTTGGTTTGGAAATGGAAGTTTGGATGTTATATAAGCTAAATGAAAGCTTATATGGCATTAAAACAACAAGATAAATGTTTTAGAGATAGATTTGAAAAATGGGGTTTTAGATGAAATTTTGATATGAAATAGTTTTTGAAGTTTTAATGAGATATTTGACTTGTCAATAGTCTAATTAAAAGATTAGGAGTATTAGAATTGGTTAATAACATGTTTGAATGTTGAGCATGATTTGAGGATTCAAGTGTTTAAATGAGAAATTTGGATGTTTGAGAGTTATAAATATGTACAAGTTGGTTTGAAGGTATAAAGGTGAGTTTATAAACTCAAAGAATGTGTTTAAGAGAGTTTTTGGGTGAATTTCGAGTTGAAAGTGGCCATTCAGGGCATAGTGTATCGGTACACTTAGGAGAAGTACCGATGCATCATGAGTTGAATATACGTGATTGTATGAGAGTGTATCGATACGCTCAAAACATCGAATGCCATTTGTGTATCGGTACACTTAGGAGTGTATCGATACACCCAAAACATTGAGTGCTATTTGTGTATCGGTACACTGAGGAGTGTATCGATACCCCCAAGTATGAACCAAAAAATAGAGTTCTTGTATATTAAGTTATTATAATTCGATTAAATTGAGATGAGATTGATATTGATTCTAGATTGTTTGTGTAGTGACCGAACGCAAGTGAATTTCTAGTCAGCTTGGTATTTCGAATATCGACTTGAAAAGATTTGGATTAGACTTTAGTGGGGCAAAGGTGAGTGCAACTTCTCTTTTCGTAATAGAATTGAGAAAGGCTTGCGATAAGCCAACCTCAGTGTTTTCGATCGAAAACTTTATATTTATTTTATGTTCTATTCAATGTTTTATTCAAATTCCATTTTTATATACTATGTTTTATGACTATGTGTTATGAAAATATGAACTTTGACAATTGAATATGAACTTCGAATTTGTGAATGTGAATATACTCTATGCTAGAGAAGCTATGTGAATAAGAAATGCTTTGAAAAAGGATTAAACCTAATTATGTGATTAAAAGCCCAATGTATATGTATGAGGATTAGAGGTATAGTTGGCATGCCAAGAGTTGATGGTCTATGTGGTCCTTCGGGATAATATGTGACACTTCGGTGCAACCCTATGTGGCATTTCGGTGCAACCCTATGTGGCACTTTGGTGCAATCTATGTGGTCTTTCGGGACAATTATGTGCCACTTCGGTGCAAATTACGAGCTGTGGTGACAACATTAGTGCACAACCTCATAGTACTCAAATACCTAGATTTCTCAGTAGTATACTTTGGGCAATTGGAACAAAGACATACAAAGTATAATTAATCATAAGTATACCTTTGATATGGAATTCAAGGAAGCCCTTTGAAAATCATTTTTAATAAAACAAATAAGATTCTTGTTAATAAGTTAGCACTATTGTATTACCTCACTAAGTCATCGACTTAGCGTGTGTTCTCTCACACGTAGATTTCAAGAAGGTTGAAGATTGATCTGGGGTCGAGGATAACATACGTTTTTGAAGATAAGATTATTGCAAATTAAATGTAGGTTGTTATTATTTTGTAAACTGTTGGCATGCATTATATGTTTAATTTGAAATGCTCTGATCGATTTTGAATAAATATATATATATATATATATATATATATATATATATATTTGTATTTTGTAAACTCTTACCTTTGAGGTTATCTATGTAAATTATTAAGATATTTTGTGAAATAATTTCCGATTTAGAATATTATTATTTTCTTTATTTTGAATGGAACAATAAGTTTTAAAATTATGCATATTTGTAAATTTTTGTATGTTTGAAAAGTCAAATGTGACACCTCGAACTCATATCTGGGTCGAGTACGGGTCAAGGGTGTTACATATATAATAAGTTTTGAAATAAAATATAATTATAAAATAGATAGTAAGTTTTGACTAATCCAAAATTTGTAAGTTTTGACTAATTTAAATTTTATAAATTTTGATTAATCCAGTAAAAATATTTTGTATAAATGTTGATGATATGCATATTTAGTAAAAATATTTTTAATACGATTAGTTTATTTTTTTTTTTGAATAATTTAACTTTTAGTTTTAGTTTTTTTATATTTAATATTTTTAAATAATTGAATAATTTTATATTTATAATATTAAATATTTTTATTTTAAAAAATAAATAAGTCCTTGAAATTTTAAAAAAAAAATAATTTAACCCTTAAACAAAATAAAAATTAAGTGTATGATTTGAATGATTCAAATTAATCATTACGAAACCTTAAAACTGAAAAAAAAAAAGTAAGAAAGAGAATTTAAGATTCAATAGATGAAAAAATATCTATAAAAATATGATTTCCACCGTTGTTGTTCTCTCTTTGACATATTATATAAATAATCCGGAATCATTTCGTACTAATTTACAGCTTTATTTATTTCTCTGCACGTTTTGTACGTGCTAACTTCTGGCCCCTAGTGTTCTGGTCCCTAATCCGATATGGCTTTCACAACTTTATTATTATCAAAACAACAATATTAATAATTAAAGAAAAATAAAACAGATAGGATATACGCGGCCATAAAAATTGTATTAGTTGCACGTTTTTCTTGTTCGAAAAATTACACATCGTAGCTGAAGAAATAGACCCATCTTTAAGCAGTGGGTGAAGATGGGGACGATTATCGTCTTTAATATTTATTTTTCTGGTGAAAAATGAGTCTCCTTTATTAACGAGACAAGTCTGTCTTTATGGAACACTGAATTAGATGAAATCACTTGATAAATAATACAGAATAAAGCAGATAATTAGAGGAAAAAGACATTGACAACTGATATTATTAGCTTATTACATGCTGAGTAAATGATCTTAATGCCCTAGTCGCCGGAGAATAGCAGCTTTGAGCGATTCTTCGGTCATCAATCCATGTGGGATCTTGACGATGGTATCCTGGAGCATGAGCTTGTCGACGCACGACACGCTTGCATGATGGACCTGAAACTCCAAGTCACGGAGTGCAGCCATCAACCTAGCGGCTGGATGGTTCACATTCTCCGATTGAACCCTAATCATCGCGTCGTCGCTTTCCATGATCTTGATATCGACCTGCAGGTCACGCCACCCGCCGGTTGCGGCTGAAAAAGTCCTCGTTGGCCTAGCTTGTTCCTCGAATGAGGTGGTGGTGGTGCTTTGGTTATCCATGGAATCGAGTATTTCTACCTTTACTTTCTTGCAGTTTTCGTGAAGCCGTGATTCCAAGTGCTCGATTTTCGACTTCAGTTCGCAGATGTACGCGACGGCATCGGACAATAAGGATGCTTTGTCCATGCGTGAGACGTTCGGGACTACGGCTCGGAGCGCATAGAACCTACTGTTCAGCTTCTCACGGCGTTGTCTCTCGGCTTCCACGTGGTTCAACGGATTTTCTCGACCGAGAATCGGTTTTCTTCCACGTTTCTTCGGAGTTATCTTCTCTGTATCTGTTTTATTCTCGGCCCGTAATGGACAGTCGGAATCTGAATGCTCTGAGATAGAACTCGGGACTAAATTCAAATTCGGATTTGAATTTTGAATTTGATCGGACCCGAACAGGGATTTAACTTGCTGGACTAGTCCCCAATTTTCATTGATAATTTCCGAGGATCCGAGCTCGAGAACACCAGAAGAAGTCGGTATGCAAACGAGTGTTTCGATGCCATGCAACTGTGCTTCTTTAGCTCGTTCACAATCATTAAATTGCAGCTCAATAGCACCGGTTAACCAAACCAAAGAGCCAGTGCTAAGAGCATTGCCGAGAACCCCATCGCCGGCCGAGAAAGATCGACTCAGAGACATCAGATAGTACCATTCGGTACGGGTGATGTCTGTGTCGCCGATCAAAGACACGTCGATGTCGTGGTTGTCTCCGATGAGGTCTTGGAGTCCTTTCATGTCCTTTCTTCGTTCATTATGTAAGGCTTGGACATCGGACAAGTTGGTGGCCGTCGATGGTTTTGCAGATGTGTCTTTGGTTCCGTGAAAATGACCATCTTCCCAAGTCAAGAACAAACGACCTTGGTCGTCGTTTGATGTCTGCCAGAGTATAGCGTATGCCCAGGATTCTTGCCGGCTTTTGACGAGGAATTGAAGCTTCTGCTGTAGGGTTGAAGATGGAGTTTCCTGGGAAAATGAAAGTAGTGATGATGAGGAGGATGAATATATTATTAGCTCTTCCATGGCTACTGGGAAAAGAAAAAAGTGTGGACAGGAATAGTAAGAGATGCAAGAAAAAGGAGAGAAACGAGGATTAAGTGAATTCTGTGTGGGAATCTAGACAGCTGAATCTTATTTCCTCCCATTTTTTGTGTGGTCGTGTGATATATAAGGACAATGTGTGTTGTGGAATTCGTGTTAATTTCCACCAATAACATATTCACCTTCGAAACTATTAGCTAGGTGACTACTGTGAAAATGATTGTACTAAAAATCACCCCAAGGTATATTCCCAGGAAAGAGGAGGGGTCACAACGGTCTCTCTTAAAACCCACTTTCCTTAGACAGAACTACCAAGACAAGTAATTTTAATAGGACAATAATTAACAACAACTATACCCGACAATAGCTATTAAATAGACATAAAAGAGAACACGAAAATATTTCACTAATAGAGGAAATATTGCAAAGAGAGAAAGAATACAAATAGCCTTTAATATAGAAGGAAGCTTATATTTGTGGAATTATTAACTAAGGAGGAGGATGTTTTATTTATAACAAAAGAATTTCCCCTCCTCCTTATACACAACCAATGTGGGACTTTGCCAAAAAACCAACAAATCTCCACCTTGGCAAATTCCACACACATCTCTAAAAAAACAATCTTTTAATTTGTAACAATATTGACCAAGTCTAAACAATGTTTAAACTTGACTGCAGTTACCACTTTTGTCAACATATCAGCAGGATTCTCAGTGGTCCAAATCTTTTGGATTATGACTCCACTTTCTTCTAGAATCTCTCGTACAAAGTGATATCGAACATCGATGTGCTTCGTCCTTGCATGGTAAACCTGGTTCTTTGCTAAATGAATAGAACTCTGACTGTCACAGTGCACTTTGATGTGCTTTTGTTCCATTCCCAATTCACCAAGCAACCCTTGAAGCCAAATTGCCTCCTTCACAGCCTCTGTAACTACCATATACTCTGCCTCTGTAGTAGACAAAGCCACTGTTGACTGTAAGGTGGACTTCCAATTGACTGGTGCCTTTGCAAATGTAAACACATAATCAGTAGTTGATCGACGCTTGTCCAAATCACCTGCATAGTCTGAATCACAATACCCAACTACACACTGACCGTCTTGTTTGTCCCGCTGAAAGACCAAACCAACATCTACGGTGTTCAGAATATACCGCAGAATCCATTTCACAGCTTGCCAATGCTCCTTTCCAGGATCATGCATATACCTGCTCACAACCCCAACTGCCTGTGAAATATCGGGTCTCGTACACACCATTGCATACATCAAGCTACCAACAACACTTGCATACGAAACCTTTGACATGTATTCCCGTTCTGCATCATCCTTAGGTGACATTGATGCACCGAGCTTGAAATGAGGAGCAAGAGGTGTACTAACTGGTTTTGACATCTCATTTATGCCAAAACGTTTTAGTACCTTCCTCAGATATTCTTTCTGAGACAAACAAAGCCTCCCCAATTTCTTATCCCTTGATATCTCCATGCCTAGAATCTTCTTCGCTTCACCAAGATCCTTCATCTCAAACTCCCTGTTCAATTGAGTCTTTAGTTTCGCAATTTTTGTCTGACTCCTGGAAGCTATCAACATATCATCAACATAAAGAAGAATATATATATAGGATCCGTCTTCTAGCTCGCGTAAATACACACAATGATCATATTTGCTTCTTGTGTACTTCTGCCCTATCATAAACTTGTCAAATCGCTTGTACCACTGACTTGGAGATTGCTTCAATCCGTACAATGATTTTTCTAATTTGCACACAATCTCTTCTTTTTCAGCAACTTTGAATCCATCTGGCTGAGTCATGTAGATTTCCTCATCCAAGTCTCCATGTAAAAATGCAGTTTTTACATCCATCTGAACTAGTTCCAAATCCAACTGTGCTACCAAAGCCAACAAAATTCTGATGGAGGAATGTTTTACAACTGGAGAAAATACTTCATTATAATCAACTCCCTCCGTTTGAGCGTAGCCTTTAGCTACCAATCTTGCTTTGTAGCGGATGTTATTCTTGTTAGGAAATCCATCTTTCTTTGCATATACCCACTTGCACCCAATTGCCTTCTTTCCCTTCGGAAGACTAGCTAGTTTCCACGTCTGATTCTTTTGAAGGGATTGCATTTCTTCATTCATGGCGATCCTCCACTTTTTATGTTATGAACTTTATACTGCTTTATTAAAAGTGGCAGGAACGTCATCAATTGCAATTGGTGATGAAAAAGAGACCATATCAGCATAACGAGCAGGTTGTCTAATGATCCTCTTTCCCTTTCTGAGTGCAATTGATTCATGTTGCTGTGGAGGTTCTTGGGTCTGAACCTCTTCTTCATCTGACTCTTCTTCTACCATAGGAGAGTCAACAGCAGTTTCTTTATTGGTTGGGACAATCTTGCTTCCTTCAAACTCCACCTGTTTGGGAGTTCCATCTGTCTGGTCCAATTTTTCTAAAGTCATCTTTCTCAACATGGTAGATTCATCAAAGGTAACATCCCTGCTGAAGATTATTTTCTTTGTTTCTAGACACCAAAGACGATAACCTTTCACACCAGAGGTGATCCCCATAAAGATCGCCTTCTTTGCTCTTGGATCCAACTTTGACTCCTTAACATGGTAGTATGCAGTGGAACCAAACACATGTAAGGAATCATAATCTGTAGCAGGTACTCCAAACCATTTCTCTAATGGTGTTTTACCAAGCAGTCGATGGTAAGCGGTTGACAAGGTGACAAGCATAGACCAAAGCCTCAACCAAAAATTCTTTGCCTAACCCAGCATTAGACAACATACACCGAACCTTCTCCACTAATGTCCGGTTCATACGCTCTGCCACCCCATTATGTTATGGTGTACCTCTGACAGTGAAGTGCCTGACAATACCTTCCTCTTCAAAGACTTTCAGAAATGAATCATTTTTGTACTCTCTACCATTGTCTGTACGGAGACGTTTGATTTTTCTGCCTGTTTGAGTCTCCATCATCTTTTTCCATTTAAGGAAAAATCCTAGCACCTCATCCTTTGTCTTCATTGGATACACCCAAACTCTCCGGGAAAAATCATCAACAAAGGTGACATAATAGTGTGTTCCTCCCAATGAAGTTGTCTTGGAAGGCCCCCATACATCTGAATGAACATAATCCAAAATACCTTTAGTATCATGGATTGTTGTTTCAAATTTCACCCTCGTCTTCTTCCCTTTGATGCAATGCTCACAAAAAGCTAATTTGCAAGTCCGAGCACCCTTCAATAATCCTTAATCTATGAGTAATTTCAAGGATTTTTCACCAACATGCCCCAAGCGCATATGTCATAACCTGGTTGCTTCTGACTCATGTTCATCAGTAGAAGCTGCCACTGCTGTTGTCCCAACAATTGTACTACCCAGAAAGTAATACACATTGTTTCTTTTTCATTTTCCTTTCATTATCACCAGTGCACCAGAGATAATCCTCATAATCCCATCTTTTGCCCTCACTTCTAAACCTTTTGACTCTAAGGTTCCCACAGATATGAGATTTCTCATTAAATCTGGTACATAATGGACACCTGTTAAGGTTTTGATTGATCCATCCTGATTCCTCAAGTGAATTGAACCAATCCCAAGTGTGTCAAGAGGGGAATTATTTGCTGTGTAGACAATTCCACCTTTTAGTTCTTTAAAATCAAAGAACCATTCTCTATTGGGGGTCATATGGTGGCTACAAGCTGAATCTAACAGCCATGAACTGGAACAGCTGGTTGATGACGTAGCAGCGAATGCGAAATCTGAATCTGCATCATCATACTCGACCACATTTGATTCTGAGACAGCCTTCCCCCTTTCAGGTTTGCCTTTATTATTTAGTCTGGGACATTCTTTCTTCCAGTTCCCTTTTTCTCGACAAAAGGCACATTCATCTTTGCTCAATATGGACTTTGACTTCGATCTCCCTCTGCCTCCTTTATTCTGACTCTTCGAACGGCCTCTAACAACAAGAGCTTCTGCTTCGACACTTGTGTTTTCTTGTTTGTCTTTCTTTCTCAATTCATAACTATACAAGGCAGCAATTACTTCACTGAGAGACACATCAACCTTCCCATGAAGTAGAGTAGTTTCAAGATACTCAAACTCATCAGGAAGTGATCCCATCAACATCAGAGCCAGATCTTCGTCTTCAAAAGTCACGTCCATATTTATCAGATCAGTCACCAGCTGATTAAAGCTAGTAATGTGATCATTCATAGTGGTACCTGGTACATAGTTGAAGCGGAACAATCTCTTTTTCATGTAGAGTTTGTTCTGACCAATTTTCTTCAAAAATTTCTCCTCCAGTGCCTTCCACAATTTACTTGCAGAAGTTTTCTTAGAAAATGCATACTTCTGCTCTCTAGAATGACACGATCGAATAGTACCACATGCCATTATATTGATCCTCTTCCATTCTTTCTCCTCAACATCATCTGGTTTCTCTCATTCAATAGCAATGTCTAGACCCTGCTGAAATAGGGCATCTAGAACCTCACTTTGCCACATGTCGAAATGACCGGTGCCATCAAAAATCTCCACTACAAATCTAACATTTGTCACAACATTTCTTGCCAATATTGAAGATGAAGAAGCGTCTGCCATTTCTGCTACAAATTCTATTTAATAGCTGCCAATGCGGAATGTCAATTATCCCAAGGAGATTTTTTCTGATGTAGAAGATCAGCCTAAGCCGCAACCACAGAACATACTAAAATAAACCAAGAGCGCTGATACCAATTGTTGTGGAATTCGGGTTAATTTCCACCAATAACAGATTCACCTTCGAAACTATTATCTAGGTGACTAGTGTGAAAACGATTGTACTAAAAATCACCCCAAGGTATATTCCTAGGAAAGAGGAGGGGTCACAATGGTCTCTCTTAAAACTCACTTTCCTTATACAGAACTACCAAGACAAGTAATTTTAATAGGACAATAATTAACAACTATATCCGACAATAGCTATTAAATAGACATTAAAGAGAACACCAAAATATTTCACTAATAGAGAAAATATTACAAAGAGATAAAGAATATAAATAGCCTTTAATATAGAAGAAAGCTTATATTTGTGGAATTATTAACTAAGGAGGATGATGACTTTATTTATAACAAAAGAATTTTCCCTCCTCCTTATACACAACCAATGTGAGACTTTGCCAAAAAACCAACAATGTGCGCCATTATTTAAAATTTGGAAAAATGAAATAAACATAATAAATTTTCAAGTGTCGGTGTTTATAAAATATTGTTTTGAAGATAAATTATAGCATCATTTAATCCTGAATAGGATGATAGATGGATTCTTAAAGAGTTAAGTAGTTCGTGTGTAGTTCGAATTCGATTTAGTTAAATTTTGATAAAAGTTCAATTCGGGATAATTCGATTTGAACTCGAGCTCAATTCAATACCTTAACGAGTTATTCCGAACAATGTCCAACTCGACTCGAAAATTCTAAAATGAAGCTCGACTCGACTCGAAAACTCACGAGCTTGAAATTTTCAAGCTCGACTCGAACTCAAAATCTTAAACTGAAGCTCGTGAGCAGCTCGAAAAGGCTCGAAATAAAAAAAAAAATTCTTAAACTTAACTCGATTAAAGCCTCAAACTCAAACTCGAACATGAATCTTAAATACATGAAATTTTACTGTATTTTTAAAAAAAATCAATACATAAATATTAATATTATTATTAATTTATTTTTTAAAAATAAAATCTTAATATATTATATTTTCGAGCTGCTCACGAGTTTTTCGAGTCGAATATCGAGTAGCTCGTTTCAGCTCGTTAAGAACTCGAGTCGAGCTCGAGATCGAGTCGAGTCCATTCGATCCCAATATTTATCGAGCCTTAATCGAGTCGATCTCGAATAACTCACGATCTGTCTCGTTTCATTTACCGCCCTAATTGTGAGGGTAAAATGGCTGTGGGGTCAATCCTCTTCCACTTGGTTAATTTCTTTAAACATGAATAATTAAATATTTTTTTTTATGGATTTCGGAAGGAATCTAATTTCTTGTGGTCCAATATTTCTTCAGGTCAGTCACAAGTGTGCTTAAATGATACACAAGCAAGTGATCAGTTAAAGACGATATGTCCTATGGAGTGTCAACATTTGGTTTTATTGATAATTACAATATAATATTTATTTAAGGTTTATTATAAAAAAAATAAGTATCTAAATTTTATTTAGTAAAATGATTTTGTTTTTAAAGAAATTTTCATTAAAGTTTGATGTTTAATATTTTCTCAATTATACTTTTAGGTTTTTATCGTTATATTTTAAATAATAATAATAATAATAATAATATTTTTTAATTAAAAAGGGAAAATAAAAAATAATTTATTTAAAAAATAACCCCAAAATTTTAATGAAATTACAAAAGAACTCTAAAGAACTAAAATCTCTCATTTCAACCTGTTATCAACCGTTGTCGATCATCTCCGACCACCATCATCATCGCCGAATGGTCACCCACCCGTCTCTGACTACCCATCGATCAATTTTCTCCTTTACTGTTACCCAAATCTCCTAAATCTCTAAAATACCCAATATCCAAATCACTAAAACATTATAATTTCCACAATTGAGCGTCGGAGAAGCACCGACGGACGGAGTGGCGACGAGGATGAGTTTTGAGAGGAATTACATGGTGGCTCGAATGGTGGTGACGACATGACTTATGGATGTCGGGATCAGCCGAAATCGACGAAAAACAGTAACAATGGCTTAAAATCCGACGAATCTTATAACGCTTCTCCACGATAAACGATGGCAGCTTACAGTGAAAGGTCAATGGGAATTTGATCGGGGTCAACGCTAGTGCTAATAATGGTGGCGATGGCAGTCACGACCGGCCGGTCGACGACTATGGAAGGGGGAAAAGGGTCCGGGGTACTGCTATGCAAGAGATTTTGATTTTTTTTAATAACAAAAAATTTTACTTTAATTTTTAAAATAAATTCTCAAAATTATCAGAGCTTGACACGTGTCACTTAATGGTCAAATTTAACGGCGATTATGGTGCATACACCTAAAAGTGTTCCGATGAAAATATTAGGCATCTATTTTTAACGAAAAATTTTTTAAGTACCAAAACGTTTTTTGAGGTAAAGTCCATGCACTTATTTTTTTATTGAGCCTTTATGATATTTGAATATTCACATCACTAATGTTTTTAGTGTTCGAATCTGGGACATCAAAAAATAACAACGATTCTTTTATTATTTAGATTTTGATATTAATTATTCAATTTAGATACAATTTTTTTTGGATAATTAATTTAGATACAATTGGTTCAACCAAATCAGTTTAATATCGGTTGGTATATATATGTTCTATTTGTACGAAAGGATATATAAATAATAATAAATAGTTAGCCGCTCTTTCTCTTTGTTTTTTTTACAACTTGTCCCAATTTTTATATATTAAATCAATTTTTTATTCTTTGATTTTGTTTAACCGACGATAACATCAGTTTTAATGTTGATTACCGAATATCAGTTTTTTTTAAATAAGAATAATTATGTCTTAGTGATATGTTTATATCTACCTTTTGATAATTTTCAGGTGTTTGATTTTTGTTTTCGTTTATTTTTTTCTCAGGATTAGATTTGACATTGACATGATTGATCCAGATAGCGTTTATTTGTTATCATGCTAATCTTCCTTGTTTTTAACCCTCAAATTGGTTTGGATACGCGTTTTAAGTTCACAGATAGTTTTCTCACGTCGCTTGATTCTGATTTGTTAGTGGTCTTTCAGTAGCTTAATCACCTTTTATGGATCACTTCCTGATGCAGTCAAATTAGTTCTTATATTTATTTTGTTCGAGTATTGATTAGGTTTTTTAACATTTTCCTTTTTTGGTCCTTGTGTGATTTATATGACTAGTTTTTATGTCAATTGTTATAGGAAAATGTCTTAATTATAATTTAGTTTACTTTTATAGTTATACATGTAAATCTTTATTGTAATTCTGAATATTTTTTATTTTTTTAATAAAACTAGGTATTTTCTATGAAAAATAAAAATAATAAATATGTAGTTGATAAAAAGAGATTATATATTATTAGTGATTTAAGTTTTAGGGTAAAATACAAAATTTTCACTAAACTTTAATCTCTCTTATTTTATTCATTGTACTTTTAATTTTTTTAATTTACTCACTGGATTTTTGAATTATTTATGTTTTGATCATTTTGAATTATATTATTATTATTATTTTTAAATGATGTGATATTTTTTAGTATTATTTAATATAAAAATAATTTTATTATTATTTCTAAGGTCGGTAATAGTTAACGGTGGACAGAGATTATTTTAAGTCCTTTTAAATTTAATAATAAAATATTATTTTATTATTTATTTTAAATGATTTTTATATTAAATAATAATAAAAATGCTATGTCATACAATAATAATAACAAAACAATTCAGGGTGATCAAAATAGAAGCAATTCAAAAGTTCAGTGAGTAAATTATAAAAATTAAAAGTATAATGAGTAAAATAAGAGAGAGTAAAATTGAGTGAGGAATGGTTGTAATTTACCCGAAGTTTTAACATTGTGAATGGAATAAATTATATTAAAATAATCCACTTCGAACAAATATTTAAAATATTTAATTTAAATTAATTAATGGGTAAATTAAATTGTTCCTCACTGAACTTTACTCTCTCCTATTTTCCTCACCCAATTTTCAGTTTGATCAATTTACTCACTGAACTTTATAGATTAAATTATTTTGTTCACTCTGACGTTAACTATTTAACGGGGTTATGACATGACATAAGCTTCAAAACGACGTCGTTTCGGTGAGTAAAATAGAGAGAGAGTAAAGTTTCAGTGACTCATAGTGTAATTTACCCTTTTTCTTCTCTTCTTCATTTTCTCTCCGTCGGCCACCATGTTATTTTCATTTCGGCCATCGTCAACTGCCATAAATGGTGTCTGTTCGATCCCTTGAGTCCAAATCTGGTGGTTGTTTCATCGAAAAATATCCCAAAATCCATGAATTTGGACTGAAATGTTTTGATTTCCTCACTTTCAATCTAAAATTCGTGGACTTTGAAGAAATTCCAGACAAAATAGAGGTTAGATTCTAACTCAATGTGTTGAGGCAAAGCGACCCATCCCAATTTAGGACCAAACGACCATCACCTACGTCGGTCGACGGTGGCTGGTGGTGAAATGTGGCCACCATCTTTTTTATTTTATTTTTTAAAATTATTTTATATTAAATAATAATAATGCCACATCATTAGTGGGTAGAGAGAAAATGGTCGAGTGAGCAAAATGATTCGATTATAAAGTTCAATGATCAAATTGAAAGTTGGGTGAAGAAAATAGGAGAGAATATAGTTCAGTGAAGAACGATATAATTTACCCTTAATTAATAAATAAATTAAATATCGATTCTCAAACATATATATATATATATATATATATATATATACCCACTTCATGCAGAACCCAACCCAAATACAATTTCAGCCCAATCCAAATTATAAAAAAATTGGAAAAAAAACACTAAATCCTAAATTGCTGCCCTTGCTCCGCCCTTATTCGTCAGCTCGCCGCCTCCGCTGCTCCGCCCACTGTAACTGTAAGTTTCGTTTAACTATCGAACGTAAGCTGTAGACTTTTCTAGTTGAAAATTCACCATTGTTTTACGAAATTTGATTATACTTAGAAAGCCCCAAAACTTTGTTGCAGAAACTCTGTAATGGTGCCATTGATTTGCTTTATATTGGCCCTAGAATTTTATTGTCCTGCTGGAGAAAGAAATAGAGGCTATACAGTCTTTAATGGATCGTCAATAGAAAATATGATATCTCATCTATAGCGAGTAGCTCGTCATTCAGGCAAGCTCACCGTTCAAGCCAGTTCTTGAGCTGAGCTGATAATATATACAAAGCGGCTACTAATTGTGTATGTTAGAACCGAGTAAATTCGTATAAAAATTTAACTATAATGAAAACATTGTATATGCACAAGCTTAATTCCAGCTGAAACGGGAGTTTGAGTATGGAAAATGAGTAAACGACCCTAATTGAGCATTGCTTTTTTCTCGAGCTGAGCTTAAGCTTAAAAATATACTCGATTGAGCTTGAACTGAATTTCAAGTAGTAAATTTTTAATCGAGCTCAGGCTTCTTGCTACTTGGGTTTTGACTTGCCTCAATGGCAGTCTTGCTCAAGAGTTCTCCCTCTCTCTTCCTATCCTGAAATTGCTCAAGAGCTCAGGCTTCATGCTGCTTCTGATGTAGTGTTATCTTGCTTTGGTGCTTCTTATTTGAAGGATAAATAATTTTTTTAGCCAATACGATGGTACGACCGTATGCTATAAAGGGGAAGAAACGGAAGAATAGAGATGAGAAATATGATAAAGAAGAACAAGAACATGATGAACAAGTAGAAGTAGAAGAGGAAGAACCTGCAAAGCAAGCTTCTATTGAAAAGCCAACAAAGGAAGTCGAAGGTAAAGAAGAGGAAAAAGGCGAAACAGCAACAGATGAACTTGTGGGAATCCCAATTGTCCCTAGTGATAAAAAGACCAACAAAAACGGGGTCATATTTGTTCTTGAGAAGGCTTCCTTGGAAGTTGCTAAAGTTGGAAAGGTACATGGAACTTAGACTTCGTGTATATATGGTTGTGCTTAACATATCTGTTATCATTTATTAGCGTGAGCTTCTGTTCATGAATATGTTATTCTTATAGTAGTTTTTAATTGATTTTTTGTTCTTTAATGAAATTTGGTTTTCAACTGTATTTTTATCTTATTGGTTGTAAATTGTTACAGAGTTTCCAACTCTTGAACTCGGATGATCATGCCAATTTCTTACGGAAAAATAACAAGAATCTTGCTGATTACAGGCCTGACATAACACAGCAGGTTATTTTTCTATTTTTTGCTACTATGATGATTTAGCTGGTACTGCATTCTCGATGTTAAAACCCGATGGAGGATTTAGTTTAACTCTTTTAACCTACTGCTAATTGTTTTGTTTCCCTGTAGGCTCTTCTATCTATTTTAGATAGCCCTGTCAATAAGGCTGGTAGATTGCAAGCTGTGTATGTTAGAACCGAGAAAGGTGTACTTTTTGAAGTTAAACTTCATGTTCGAATTCCGAGAACATATAAGCGGTTCTCTGGTATCATGTGTAAGTTCTCATGCTGAGATTATGTCTCTTCTGCTGTATTTTAAAACTTTTACCAGGCTGTTTCTTATTTACCTCTTCAACAATCATGCAGTGCAGTTGCTACAAAAACTAAATATAACTGCTGTTGGCAAGCGTGAAAAACTTTTACGAGTGATAAAGAATCCTGTAACCAATTATTTTCCTGTCAATTCTCGCAAAATAGGTGGGCTTGAGTTTGGTTGTTGTTACTCTTGTATTTTTGTCTATACAAACCCATTGTTTCCAGAATTCAAGTTGTTTTTCTTGCACGTCAGGTTTCTCATATAGCTCAGACAAATTGGTTAAAATGAGAAAATATGTAGATACTGTTGGTGGTGATGTGAACCTAGTTTTTGTGGCAAGTCTTGTGTGACGTACAATTTCTTCTCTATTTATAATTGCCTCCTTATCCTATCTTTGAGCATCTTTCTTTTCAGGTGGGTGCAATGGCCCATGGAAAGATAGAGACAGATTATATAGATGATTTTATAGCGAGTAAGTCCCACATTCATATGTGTATGTTTGTTAAATTTTGTTCTTGAAATTTCGAGGTTTTTGATTCGTAACCTTTGAATACCATAAGAACCATTGAATCATATATGTACTTGACAGTTATCCCGAGTCTGGGGTTATTACTATACGTACACAAGACTCGTACTTTACATGAATACAATTGAGTTCTTATCATGCTTAAATGGGACATGACTTCATTGTCTTATATGGTTTTATTTCTCTCATTTCTTGCAGTTTCTGGTTATCCACTAAGTGCTGCAATGTGCATTGCAAGGATTACTGAAGCTTTGGCAGATAAGTGGAATATATTGTAAAGCTTGTATATGTCGCAATGATGCAAGTTCCGGGTTAGATATCAGTGCTGAATTACTTATATATTATGTGCTACGATTATATACTCTAGTTTTTGTGGGAATATATGGTTACAAATGGTTTTAGAAGGCTAAGACCAGTCTGAAAAATGGGAAACCATTTTATTTGTAGCTAGATATACGCACATACACGACGCAGGTTTTTCTTACTATGGTGTTTCTTTGTCTGCATACTACAATTGTTTTCAGCTTCCATACCGCCCAATCCTGAAAGCTTTTTATCATTCAACGAATTGTTTTTGACCCTTTTTGGTGACCAACACATTCATTTCAACGATTTGAACGTTTATTTTTGTGTATATGCTACGATATTCTACAGGTTCACGTTCATTTTTGTGTTGGATGAGGCCGAAGAGAGGTTCAATCTCTTGTTTGATCCGATACAAGATTTTCACTACCATAGCGTCCTTTGGAACAAAATTTAGACCATGTTTTGCGTTGATGATGTCCGCCAATGTGTATATGCTACGATATGGGATGATTCGGATTGGTCAACTAATGGAGGTCAAGATAAGGTCGATTATATACACATTTCACAGGTCCGTAGGGTATCCTATAGAAACAAATACATAGTTCCTAATGTTTAGGGTAATAACTATTACTTGTTTTATTACTGTTAGACAATTTTTTGAATAATTATAAAATAATTTTTAAAATGTATCAAAATATTATAAAAAGGTTAAATTTATTGAACCTTTTCAATTTCTTATAACATGTCGTTTTATAAATTTCTAAAATTTAACTATCAATATAATTATTTGAATTTTAGTGATCTCTGATGTATTCTACCTAAAAAAATCTAGATCACAATAAAATAAATTATTTTTCTTCTTATTAATGTAATATTTTTGTTAAATCTCAATTTGACATTTTATAATAGAATTGATTTGAGATAAATCCAAACTTGAATTGACATGCTCAAATTTAATTTATAAATTTGGGTCATATACGAGTGTTCTAGACCGGTCCAAACGTTTTTTCTTTCACACCCAATTGCAGCTACTAAAAAAATAAACGCCCAATTGAAAATTACTCATTATCCTATTGTTGAAACTAGGGATGGCTATTTAACTCGAATTCGATAGGTTTTGACTCGATTTGATAGAGTTATGTTCTTTTTAAGAATTCGAGTTCAGATGGGTCAAATCAGATTCGGGTGGAGGGTGAAAAAACTCCGATTCGATCTGACTCAAGGATGATAATATAATTATTTTTAAAATATATATATTAATTTTTTAATTAATTCCTTATTTTATATCGAGTCAGATCGAGTCGAGTTGGGCCCTAAACTCGACCCTAATCCGATCCGTTGCCATCTCTAGTTGAAACTTGTAATTAAAAACTATGTTGTTCATACATCGAACAATCTCAGTGCACCAATTGCAATTAAAGACTGTTGTTCATGCACCCAACCAATCTGAGTGCACCAATTGGATATCTCTATAGCCATGGACAAATTAAAATGACATTAGTTTAATCCCATAGGCATTGTTGCATGAATCCATACCTCATCTTTGTCAATATAATAATAAAGGCTTAGTTTAATACGAGACATCTGGTCAGCTATATAGCTTGAATAATATATATCTTGTTGGTTTTTTTTAAATTGAAATTACTAACTAATATTGTTTGATTAAATAAATTGTTAGATCAAATATTTCGCAAGTTATATTTATTTGTTCCCCAGTCACAATCAACTTACAAAGCAAGATGAAAAACCATGGTCAGATTGAGATGTTGTAGTTTTCCGGTGTTCCATATTCAAGTTTTATCATATATATATATATATATATAAAGCACGAATCAAGTGGCCTCCGTGGTAAAGAAATTGTTGTTATTCTTGAGGATTCGGGTTCAAGCACATAGATGCCAGGAGAGTGAGCATTCGATGTCGATAATTTGAGAGTTATCATTGAACATATATTACATTGTATTGCATGTGTCAGGTCACATCGAATAAAAAAATTTGCCTTAAAAATTAGATAAGATTTCGAGTCAGATGACTGGTGAAGAAATATTATATTATAACCATGTTTGATTTGATCCTTGATCATTGTCTAATTATTTTAATTTTAGCTATAGTTTCTATATATATTAATTATGATCATCTTTATAATTGCGTAATAAGGTTTTAATATTATTTAATCAATAAATTTCTCAATTTATATAGAGCATAATGATCAATCACCCACAATGTTTTCTCCATGACTATCTGTCCTTTGTTCCAGGCTAAACGTTGGATTTTCCACAACATAAATGTCTCCAAAGCCTGGCTTATTCCTATGTTTGTTGTCTGGTCTGAAGGACAAGTATTAATTGAACCCACCGCCCGTTCTTGACTTCCATTCATCACACTGTTCGACATCTCGTTCAATTCCCAACACTTAACTCAAACTCAATGTGGTTCGGACAACAAAGTGATCGCCAAATGAATACGTAACTTTATAGTATAATAACATGTCCGGACCCTAAACTGGGACGGCCTCCCTCGTTATGGTACTTGATTCCATTTGCCGATAATGATTTCCACATCTATAGTGCTCAAAATTTCAAACTTAAAGCAAAGGCAATGACCTACAAAGGGACCTTGTCCTCAACATATCATCTTTAAAGATAGACTAGAAATGAAGAGAAAGGCATCGGCTTCTTTTTTTCCAATATGATTCCAAAACAAATATATACGTGGGGAAATGCAATTATAAAGAACGTTTAATCGTCATCATTGCATCATCTTCTTTTTCATCTGCTGATAATTTTTTTCATCATCAAACCCTAAAACAACCGACATGAAGATGATGATGATGGTGATGATGATGAAGAAGGGATTTCTTGCCATCAATCAAGCCCCGAACATTCCTAAACTCCTCCACGTGACAAGGGATGGTGATGGTGCCCTTCTGGTCGAACCCGTACTCCTCCTCGGCTTCTTTCAACAGCTGCATGAACAATGGGTGATTGAAGTAAATAACCGGCACCACGAATCTCTCTTGCTCCGCCTCGGTCGACCCTACTTTGATCGCCAAACACCCTTTCGGCACACCCTTTGCTTGCTTCTTCCCATGATGATGATGATGAAGATTCGGTAGGTGTAAATGGAAGCTCCTCACTGTATTCTTCTCTCCACCGCCCATATCTAAAACAGCAAAGCTTTAAACTGAAAACCCTAATTTTAGAAACAACAACAACAAAGGGTTACAACAAGGAAGAAGGAAAGGGCCAAGGGTTCTTTTCGTGTGAAGAATAGACTTTATTCATGGTTGATAATCTTCCATATCAAGTCGCAAACTCATTGTACCCAGAATATATAAATAATGTGTAATATGGACTATGGAGAAAGAAAGGGGACGGTTTTTATATGCTACGAAAGGGGATATAGTGTTTCTTTAGAATTTTGATTCCTAGACGTTTGATTTTTTGCAGGAATCTGATGATGATTAGAGGGCAAGATTGATTAGATACACGTGGATGGAGGTGGAAGGGAATATGGATTTTTTTATTATAATTAAAGGATAATTCCTCACAGACGACATGAAAGATGTCGTTTTACGTCTTTGAGCGGTAATGAATAAAAATAATATTGAACATTAAAAACTTCAACATTAAATATAAATATAAATATAAACAACGGGTTAATTTAAGCAGTAAAAAATTTAATTTTATTTAAGTAAATTTCGAGCTCCAGTTCTTGTGAATATAAAAAATATCTGTTAAGATATTCACTTACCAAAATTATATGTTTGATCCGGGTTAATATAGATAATTAAATATATATATATATATATAACAAGAATATTTATATATAAAAAAAAAGGACAGGCAAGCCAATAGCCAGGTTTCTAGCGTGTCCAAATAGGCATGGAAGGGGCGGTACGGTTCGGTTTTATGAACTTTTTAAAGGGTATACTACTTATTTAGTACTTAAATTATTAGTTTTTATATATTTTTGTATCTAAACTTTTAATATTTTTAAAATCATACAAAATATTTTATTTTTATTTCATTTTAGTATCTCCACCGTTAAAATCTTAATGATTTTAGTACTTAAACTATCAGTTTTGGTCTATTTTAATATCTTAACTTTCAATTTTTTTTTCAAAATTTAACGTTTAATTTTGAACAACGATACTAAAATGAAAAAAAACTAATCTTTAGGTATGATTTTAAGAAAATTAAAAGTTATATACTAAACTAAATTAAAATAGATAGTTTAGATACTAAACTTATAATTTACTCTTTTATAAATTTCCTAAAATTTAGGGTAAATTGCACCATTCTCAAGTACTTTACTCTCTCCTATATTTCTCCCCCAACTTTCAATTTGCTCACTCAACTTAAAGATTGAATCATTTTGCTCACTCCCCCGTGTTGTCTCTAACATCTGGATGACGTGACATTTTTTATTATTTTTAATATAAAATAATTAAAATATTAAATAAAAAATAGAAGGTGGTCAGAGGCTAGTGTCGACAGCCGTAGATGGTGGTCGTTCGGTATCAAATTTTACGGGTCAAATCAGGTCAAGTTCAGATGGTGGCCTATGGCCGGAATGAAAATGACATGGTGGCCGACAGAGAGAAAATGAAGAAGCAAAGGAAAAAGGGTAAATTACACCATTCCTCCCTTAACTTTACCATCTCTCATATTTTACTCACTAAACTTTTAATATAGGATTCGAAACGACGTCGTTTTGATGCTTGTGCCATGTCATAACACCGTTAAATAGTTAACGACACGGTGAGCTAATTGATTCAATTTGTAAAGTTCAATGAACAAATTGAAAGTTGGGTGAGAAAAATAGGAGAAAGAGTATAGTTCAGTACGGAACAATGTAATTTACCCTAAATTTTAAATAATATGCTCTTATACTTGATTATATATACTAACTGATTTGATAGGTTGATTTGTAAGATATATGTATGTTGGGGATAGAAACGTATATTGAAATATGGTTCTTTTAAAATTTGCTAATTCTGAAATTTCAAACTATTTTTTTTTACAATTTTCTTTTGTTAAAGTTTGTTGAACTATGTTTCGGTATAACAATTTAAGGGAAAATGGTTTTTGGACTTGAATTGAATTTACAAAATATATTTGGACTTAATTGAATTTATTCAAAATTTACAAAAATAATTCAAAGTTCTTTAATTTAAAAATGAGCACAAAAATGTTTTTATGAATAGTAATTTACTATTTGAACAGTAAATTAATATTTGAACAGTAACCCGAGACTCAAAAATTCCAGTATGTAAAAGGGGAACCGATTCCCCCAAAGGGGTACCGATTCCCTCACTGTTCATCAGCCCAAAGGTCATAATATTTGAATATTATGAAGGGGTATCGATTCTCTATGAAGGGGTACCGATTCCCCCCATTCTGGGCAGCCTATTTTTGTAGAAAAATCATTCCCAAACGGCTCCAAAACATCCCCAACGGCTAGATATGACTTCAAACACATTCCAAGCTATAAATACAAGCTAAGGACACTTGAAGAAAATAAGAGAACAACTATCCAAGTAATCAAACACAAGAGAAGAGTTTTTCATTCTTATTTCATCTTTCTCTTGTAAATATTTTGTTCTTGTGAGCTTAATTCTTGTAACCTACCTTAGAGAGGTTTTATTGTTTACATCTTTTATCCTTTTGTAAAAGGGAAAGGTTCTAGCTTAGCCCGTGTAAAAGCTAGGAAAAGGTTCTAGTTTAGCCCGGAAAAACTAGGGAGTTGTAAGGTTATCTCTTTGTCCTCAAAAGAAAGAACAAATTAGTGAATTTGTTGGAAAATCCTTGGTGAGGAGCTAAGGTAGTGGACGTAGACTTTGATTGAGAAAGTCGAACCACTATAAATCGCTGTGCAATTCTCTATCTTTCAATCTCCTTACTCCCTAAATACAAAACCATTCCGACCCCTCTTTGCAAATCGTTCCGGTTGTCGTTTCGAGCTTACGAAAATCCTAACAAAGTTGTATAAACAAAGTCATAATTACATTCCAACGTGTAACTAACTACGTTTAGAATAAATTATTAGTATAATATTTAATTAAATTTCGATGGTTCCATTAATAGATAGAATTAGTTTTAATTTGGATCAATTGACGTCAAGTTGGTTTCGATTTTAATTTTTTAAGTGATTTTGGTAGGAAAATTCGGGTTGTTAGTAACATTTTGGTGTTCGATAATTTTAAATTCTAATTCAACACTTATTGTCAAAATGTTTTATATCATTTTAGTTATCATTCAAGGGCTCCCATATGCATATAAACGAATCAAAACATTCAATGAACTGTTTAAAAATCGTTTGAGGAGAAGCTCGTTTATAAAATAAATATCAATTCTATAAGATTGAATTCGACTCAAAGCAACCCGAACCCGATTTTTTTATAAAAAGAAATATCAATTCTTTAAAACCGAATCGCATCTAAATCCATAGATTTCGAGTTAAATGGTGATCCTACTGCCCGCCCTACCACTTTGCCTTATTTAATGCCGGTGCTTGATGTAACTATTGCTTCAAAATACCAAGTACCCCACAGCCCATAAACGTGTTAGCAATCCTATAGTTACGCGCACCAATTATAAATGATTTGAGTGTCGTTTCAAACACCATCCAAAGTGGAATTATTCTCCACTCTTTTATATAAAAAAATGAATATTGAAAATTATTAAATAATCAACTCAATTATTCACACATAAACTTATCTAAATACATACACGTGGAGGCTCCATCAAATGGAATTATAGGCTGTTGTTTTAAAAAACATCGTTGGCCCGTCCATTTTATTCGTACACCCACATGCGTCCTTCCTTTTAGTGATTTCAGAATCTTGAACTTGCGTTAAATAATTGGTACATGGAGACTTGTTCTATTTCATCACTTATGGGGAACCGAATATGGTATCAAAACTAGTTTGCATAATTAATTGTAACGCTTTTGATATGTACCGTATAAAGCCGATGATTCGATTCCACTTGAGACCTGACTTATTGTATTTGAGTAAGAGCAGTGTCCGGATTGATTATTGATGAGCTCGACTCAATTCGGAAATTTTAAAATACAACTCAACCCAGTTCAAAAATTAACTTGCCTAAACTTTTCACTCGACTTAAACTCGAAATCATAATTAAAGCTCGTCAAAGCTCGAAATAAAAAATATTAAACTTAACTCGGTTTAAGCTCAAACTCGAATCTGAACTTTAAGTAAATGAAATCTTCACATTATTGATAATTATTTATAAAAAAGAAAATTTTAATATAATATTTTTTCGAGTTGTTCACAAGCTTTTCGAGTCGAGTATCAAGTAACTCGTTTCGGTTCGTTAAGAACTCGAGTCGAGCTCAAACTCAATTTGAGTCCATTTAAGTCGAGTATTAACTGAATCGATCTGCAGTAGCTCAAAAAAATTAATAGCATAATCAAATTTAATATATTTTAAGATTATTATACTAATCAAATTTTAAAATTTAAAGAATATATAATCTAAAAGCAGTAAATTAAAATAGAGGTATTAAAATTATAACTTATACTAATTTAAAATACTAATAAACTGGTATAATCCCTTAAGGAAAACAGATTGGCATTGGAAATTGCAGCCAACTTGGGTTCAAAGTCACGGGCTCCTGCTGCAACCGATGGGTAGGCTTCTAAAATCGTTGAAAATGTTAGCTAAGATCTATGCAGTGAAGCCATGATTTGTTTAGGCTTCAAGTTTAAAATTAAGTTTATATAATGCTCAATCAAGTAAATATAATGACTAGATTCTCCAAAGTGCCTTAAAAACCTCATTAGAAATCATTTCCGTCCACAGGTTGGCAACCGACATGCGTCCTAATCAAGCGTCCTTTCAGCTAATGGGAGGTAGGTAGCAGCAATGTTGAGAATTTTTGCTGAGATGAAATGAAACCAAGCCAAGCATAGGATCATCGAGCATGTAAGCAGTTAGGGTTGGATCTCAATGAAGAAGGAAGTTGATCAAAAATAGACTTGCATTCTCTCTCTCTCTTACCTTTGGCATAGGCTTTGTTCGAAACCCTAGGGAGTAGGGAAAACCAGCGTTGAAAAGAACGGATAATGTTTGCCAAAGGTTCAAACCCAGATCTAAAAAACAGCAGAAACTGACAGACGAGATAAAAAAAAAACCAAGCCATCATGAGAAAGATCTGAATAATGATGACCCAGAAAGGAGGGCTACAACTTAGTACGGACAGAAACACACAGGAAAAACAAAGGGAGATCGTAATGATGATGAAAACTTTTATCCAGATCATACCAAATTGGTCAAAACCT